TAAAACTCGAATTTACTGGGAAAATTGTGAATATTTATTTCCAAAATTTTCAGACGATTTCGTACGTAATTTAATCTATGATATCAGAAAATTTCCAAGAAAAATACGCATGAATGATGTCAAAAATACATTTTTTATCGAGGGAAATTTGGCAACTCTCGAATGTTCATACGGCGTTCTTCCTTAGCACGATGGTATACGCCTCGCCACTACTTCAAACCCCTTTCTCTCGGTTTGATCTTAATGTAATTTGGTTCCTTCCTAATAAACTTGGTCCACATTTTTAGCAGTGTTTTTCGCGCACAACATTTACACACTATTCTTGGAAAACCCTCCTACCGAAAAGACAGGTTCTGGTTAAAGGAGATACAAAAACGTTCCTCGTCCGCTCCTAATAATAGGTGGAAATGATACCGGCTTCCAAACTGGCGGAACGTTGACCAATCAGTGTTGATTAATCCCTGATCTGGTATTTTCCACCCACCTTGTATTCTGAATTGGACTTGTTACGAATCACGGCGGGATCTCCGTATCATGGCATTTACGTCATGAAAACAACATACAAGGAGGATGAATAAACTTTCAAAACCGGTGAAATCCGAAGTGGAAACAGTTTCCTCGAAGAATAAAAAAATAAAAGTGAATGAACAACGAAAAAAAAATGCACACATGCACAAGACGACCTCTAACAACAGATCGATCGTATGACCTAATTGTGCACATGCTTTTAATTGCGATGTTGCCATCCAGGCTGCAACCAGGCTCTGTAAATTTTAGAGTACCAATTTGCAAGAAGAAAATTGGTAGGAAAGTTGTGAGCAGAGAACAGTTTGGCGAAAATAATCTTTAATTAGAACGATTGGTCATCTTATAAATGGTATTATAATTGTCTAAATTTCCTAGTACAAGTTCACTTGATATTTTAAATTTTCGTGAAGCATCAGATGTAACACACTGCTTAATGCGAGCTGCCACTACGTTGAATATTATTAAGTATTGCAACTTCTACACATTTTTTTTTTTTTTTTTTTTTAAAGTTTTATAACCACGAGTCCTAATCTCATGAATACTGTAAACATCAGGAGCATTTTTCATGTGAGAAACTATCGACTATTCTTTGAGTTTACAGATTTTCTCACCTTATTAACGGTTGGGTACCCTAGAAGAAGAAGTAAAAGAAGTCTCTTTCAAATTGTAGGTTAATGATATTCAAGAAGGGATGAAAAGATAAGATTTATCGGATAATCTACGAGCTATGAGTGGCGATTAATTGAAAGTTGCAGAGCGCCATATACGTTCAAAACACATGCAGAGGGTATACGATTTCAAAGGTTTCATAGCCCTAAACTAATAATATTCTTTTTATAGTTAAGCATAATTTAAGAGAAAACACTATTCTGACTAGGAGCCTTTCCAAAAATGTTCCATGTCGATGGTCAGAGTGTGAAACCACGTATCTGCGTTTGCAATGTTGCAAACTTACTGTCATACTTTGTTGCTTCCCTGGAACACTAGTCAACCTAATTCCCCTAAAATTGCCTTGATTTTCCTCACTGTTAGCAGAATATTCTGTAAAAGTTCTAAGCTATAAAGTTGTTCTTTCCCCTCAGGAAAAATAATAAAGAAGTGGACATTTTGAAATACCACAAAGGAGATACGTGCAGTTTCGCCTTTTAGCCATCGATGTTGATTCAGATGTAACTGGTTCTCCTGTAATTTAATGGAGATAGATTGATTTCCATATGTTCCTCGACATGAAAATCATAACATTTCCACGCAACTCGCATGAAAACTGGATCATTTCCATGCAACTCAAATGAATTTTTGTTCCATCAAATCAGCATGGAGATGGACATATTTCCTAGTAAATTCTGCATACAGCTCACACATTTTCTATGCAATTCTTGAGTTTTTCGGAGCCGGAAAAATTTTCCAATGGAAAAATAAAACTTTCCATGAGATGCTGACATGATGAAATGAAAAAAGTCAGGAAAAATCTATACCATGACATGATGGAAATTTTCACCGGGATGAAATATTTAGCACAAGCGTGCAGAACGCTAAAGCCTGCGAAGTATTATCTCACAGGTGAACGGAACTGGAATTCAAAGCCAACAAGAGGCATTAGTTGAAACTTGTTACAGCTTACTCCGCATGGCGGATCACCTTTAAATTTCTCTGGAGATGATTAGCCCTACTTTTGAATAAATGGGAAGTAAAGCACCGAATAACCCTCTTACTTATGTATGGCATCTGCAGACTGTTCTGATTGGCTCTAAGGTCCGGTACTTGGTATTCCGCCTTCTAATGGAACCAATAGTAATAGTATTGGATAAGGGAGGCCATGAGTGCTGAAAGTTCCTAACCGCGTGACCGGTTTGGTCACGTGCCGTTCGCAAGTAATGGGAAACCCCTATGAGAACGATCAGAAAAAAACGGTTTCCAGCCAAAGTGGAAACGAAAAGGTAGATGTTGACTGAACGGTTCTGTGAAAATAGGAGTACCTTAGAGCCTAGTGAGTAAAAAAATCATCTCAATCTTGTACTTGAACTTTTGAACTTTTCAAGAGAGGAGGTGGTTTTAGAGGGTAGGAATATAGGTTATTTTGAAACCAGGACGAAATAAGAGGGTTTTGAGGTATCAGCGGTCAAGATCGGACGAGTTCGAACAACCATCCCCCTCTTTGACTTGAAATTTTGAGAAGGGGTGGTTTTAGGGGGTAGGAAAATAAGGTTACTTTGGGGGCCTAAAGATGACGAGTCTGTGACGGTATCAGCGGTTATGTTTAGACGAGTTAAAAAATTGAATAAAAAACCAAGAAAAACTGTGGTCCGGTTTTCTTGAGAAACCCCTAAACATGAACCTTCAATGGGAACTAAGAGGAGGATCTAATTTAGGGCCAGTTAGGAACAGGCTTCATGTATTTTTATCAGGGCACGACTGATTTTTCTCTCGTTCAAACTCATGTCATTTTGTAAATTATTTTGGAGATTAAAGGCGGAAGATGTAGGTGCAATTTTTATCTGTTGTTTTCTTTTCGTCTTTTTGCTGGAACAGGAAAGAATGGGAGCATTGCTAGGAATCGCGGTTCCCGGATCATCTTTTTCAGGGAATTTACCGTATCTCTGAAAAAACCTGGATATTGAAATGATGAACAAGTCGGAATGTCTCCCGGCATCAAATTAATTCGAATTATTTGAACTCATGTCAAAAATACACGACTCCTTAAAGAAAGAAAGAAAGACATTGATTACAGCCACACATTTTTGACGAACGGAAATTCTTTCAGGTGGGTGTTAATCAGTTCCCAAACAGAGACAAGGGGACAAAATTGAGAAACTTTTCGGTGTTTTAATGGAACAATATTAATGTTTGTAAACTAGTGAGTGAGGCATTCTTCGAAACGAACAAAATCGTGGTTATTTTTTCAACACATAATGTAAAATCAAATGAAAAAAAGGGGATCGGAAAAAAAGAAATAAAAATATGCGTGTGAGCGTACCACTTTTTCGCAATCAAAAAGAATGGACCAATAGACAAGGTGCACATTTAAGCATTTTGATACATGTATCGTCTTAACCAGAATTTTACGTAGAACACGATTCGCGCAACAAAAATTACTGGAACCAACTCTAGATATTAACATTTATTAACACATATTCAGTGGCGTAACGGACTTCCACTGGGCCCCCCCGCAAAATTTTTTCTTGGGGCCCCCCATGTCGATGAAATTCCAAAATTATCCCCCCTCTCCCCCCCTCCCTCCCTCTCCCTCCCTAACCCCTTCCCGTTTTTCTCTTATGGTCTAGGCCCGCAGCACGAACATTTTTTGAGAAANTCCCACCATGTGTTTTTCAAACTATAAGTAATTTGCTATAGCTGAGCAAAAGTGTCAAGATTGAGGTTGCCAGATTGTTTTATCGCAGAGACGTCCATGACAACGTTTAGCGCGCGATGTGAATCACGTAAGGCATTGAGTTTTCATGAGCGGCTGGTTTCAATTCACGCACCAAGAATCATTAAATATCTTCGGAAGGAGTTGATTTCGGTAATTTTCGTTGTGCGCATCGTGTTTTTCCTGAAATTTTGGTGAAGAAACACGTATCAGAATGCTGAAATTCGTACCTTGTCTAGTGGTCCATTGTCATTATTTTTGAGTATGACACTTTTTGAACTAAAAAATGTATGTATAAAAACACTAGGTTTAATCAACAGCAAAGCAACACAGGAAATATGTCATTCAATAATACTTTTTTTAGTTTCACTAAGCTCTTCCAAATTTCTTCCAAATTTTTCATGTGCAGTTTTGTTGTTACGCAAAAAGTTTTTACGGATCTGGGTGTCTCCTTGGAAATTTTAAACCACCTGGTGCGACACGAAAAAACAAAAAAACAAAAAAACACCCCAACAACCCCCTTCTCCCGCACTCCACCGTTTAGTTTTCCAGAATGAAGTCTTTACGGACCAAACTCGAAACGGCAACCTAGTCCATGCAGCAATAGCGCCACTTTAACGCTGATAGTAAAATTCTCACGAGCACTGCCCTGATAGCGAAGAACCGTTTAACTGTGATGGATCTCATATGTAAATCTTTGGTTTTTGCCGAGTGAGCTTGCCGGAGCTCTTCGTGCTTCCTGCTCCTAACTAATTATTTCCATGAAACAAGCGGGGCGACGCACAATAGACGGATCCACTAGGAGAAGACAGACATCAAGTTTTTACTAAAACCAAACATTTCGATGTTTTTTTTGTCAAAATTTAAATCTTAAAGGGTCTTGCTTAAAGGTGATTTTACGAGAGAACCAATGAAACCACTTTTGGACCTCTACGTTCTGTGCCGACGGAGATATTAAGCTTCCAATAAGCTTAAAGTCTGTCCAATTTCTCCGACTGACTCGTTCAACTGTGCGGCGCGGCGCGGTGGCGAAGCGCGCTGCATCAACGGTTGGCATTAGATCAATGTCAACATCCAATAAAATAAAAGCACCCTACTGATTAGTATGCGATTATAACTTTAGGTGTGGATGGCTATAGGTGACTCGTCGCTCTGTCTCTCTCTAGTGGTCCAACTCATTCCGGGTAGATTTCCATGCCTCCCTGATGCAGCCCATTGAGCTTTAGTCCGGGCAGAACAAACATAATCCCAATTTTCGCGAACGCCCATCAGTTCACTCCCTGATTTCACCCAAGTGCACACTCCTCCACCGCTATGCTCGAGTTCCTAATTTGCGGGTATGTTGTTATAGTGTTTTTCTACTCTATTTTCAGTGGAACAAATGGATTTTTTTCTCTCTTATAGTGTTTCGTCCAACGGAGGTATTCTCAAGTATCGATTTTCCAATTTGTTGAAAGAAAATTCATATTCGATTAATTTTTTTGACCCGGTTATTCTTTTTATATTTTTTAAATTTTTTGTTTGCTTTTATAAAACATTATATATATTTCAGATTTAAGATCAAAATTCCAAATTTTATTTAACGAAATAAAAATAAAAAATAAAATATTTCTGGCTTCAAAATCGTCCTCAAAAGTTTTTAAAAAGTTCTCTCATTTCTTCATATTTCGAGTGTCAACTGCCGAAATTTAGGTTGAAATTTTTTCGGAACTATTTTTTAAGAGTGGGTATTTATTCTTCTTCAAGTTTGAGGTATGTCCTTGCTAAATTTAGACGACTTTACAAAACTACATTTTACTCACACGAACAAAAAAGGATTGAAATAATATTAGATTTGTTAGTATTATATGAAAGTAGATGAAGCACTTCGTCATTTCTAAATTCTTTCTGTAAATACAATCAAAAGATCAATGAATTGTGCTGTCTCACCGGTGAATTTGAATATTTCAGCTTATTGAAGTAAGCATAAAAGTAGGTAAATGCGTGCGCAAGAATCAAGTGATACTTCATTGAATTCCGCGAAAATGGATCTCAAATGTGCTTCACGGGTTCGCTCTACAAAAAGAGAAAATTTAAAAGACTATCACAGTTTTTTTGGTAAAACTTAAACAACCGTTCATTAGTAAAATTCAACGTTCCAGAAACTTTGGCTCTTCAGAAAACATTTTCTTTCAGGACACGATTACTATATGTACCCTTAAACATATGAGCAATGGTAGCGCTAAAGTTCATATCAGGGTGAGTTAGCCAAAATGTATAGCTTGGGGAAAAGAGAATACTAGCATTTATTCCGCGTGCAATAGAAAGTTCGTTTTAATAATTTACGAAGTGTCGGCATCATGATATGTTGATGAGGTAGAATTTATCATAATCTATTCTCACGTCGTCGGGTGCACAGTGGAGTAGGTCAGTGGGAGCAGTCAAACATAACGAGGAAACCTAAATGTTCAGACTCTCTTTAAAACTCAACAAGTTGAATTCGAGGTTTGAGAATGGTTTCTTTTATTTCCTCATAAAAGTTCCTCGAAGAAGCACGCTTTAAAATCTAAAGTTTGACGACATTTTTCTGACGAAATTTAAATCTGCAGTTTCAGTCAAACATTTTCTGCCCAACCTCCCCAAAAACTCGCTCCACTGTGCATCTAATCCTGGCATATATCTTCAGAGACTTTAACGCCGGGTAAAAAAAAATAACTAATGATTTTTCGCGGATTGAGACTGAAACTAAGCATTCGTGAAACGGAAATTTAAATCATACGGGATGGTCTATTTTCAAGTTTGTTCTTCGACTATGACCTAAAAATATTTTTCTCAATTTTGTCTCCCAAAAATATTTGTGGGTTATAATTTGCCTCTTATTCCAATGCTCCGATTAAGCGCACATTCTGAAGGAGTTTGTTTGCTTGTTTTGTTTCTGTTTTAAAAAAAATTAAAGATTTGGAAATTGATGGGGGATGTCTCTATAATAATTCAGTCTCATCACAGAAAATCTTCAACAAATTTTGTAAAAAATCCTTTGTGAAAATACCTCCTCTTCATGTTGTTTAGCCTGGCATGCCTTTTCGAATTCCCCCATATCAATGGACCAGTAGGCAAGGTACAAATTCATGCATTTTTATATGTGTTTCATCATCAAAATTTCACGTAGAACAAGACTTACTCAACGGAAATTACTAAAGTTAACTCCTTACCAAGATATTCAATCTTTCTTGACGCGCAAATTCAAACATTTCGCTCATGAAAAAACAAAAGTTTACGGCAGTCAAATCGCGCATTGAACGTTTCCGTGACAGAGTATCTTGTTATGATTCTGCGTGAAAATTTGGCAACCTTAATCTCGGTGCATCTGCTTAACTGTTGCACGTTGTTACAACTTTGAACAACAAAAAGTGCGGAAGGAACATTGTTTGATAAAAGACATGCCAAAAAATTGTAATGAGCTATTTGCTTCAAGTAGATTATTATTTTTCTTGGAGCAATTCGAATTTTCAGTAACTAATGTGAAATATAAACGTTAATACCTCGGTAAGGTGTTGATTTCAGGAATTTTTGTTGCAAAAATCGTATTTTAGGTGAAATTTTGGTTAAGAACTATGTATCAGAATGCAAGAATTCGCACTTTGTCTACTGGTCAATTCATTCATTACTTGAGATTATTATCAATGGTGTTAAGTTTCAATTAATTCTGTTTTTCAACAGCTGTAAAATTCCTACATTTTTGTGCGACATTCGATTATCACAAAATATAAATGCTTCGGGATATAATTAGGACGTGCGACGTTTTAACCTCCAGACGTTTAATGACATTATTAGACCAGTTCCAATTCATTCATGAAATCCTTCAAGAATCAACAGTGTTTTTTTTCTCTCTCTCTATTTTAGTTTCTTCTGACTTGTTTGAAATAGCACCTCAAAGACTCTATCAAATTGCAAATTGAACATTTTTGATCGTTAGATATTTTTAAAATTCTACTGACTTGAATAGAAAGTAATCATGTGACATAATCTAATACCTTTTAATACTATTGAGCTTAACTAATCGCGTATTTTTATTTTTAAACATTTAAAGGAAAAAAGGAATATTTTAAATGCGAAAATTGCGCTAAACTTAAACGCAACCTAAACATAACTTAAAACAAATGTAAATGTAAATGCAAAATGTAAAAAAATGCAAAAAACGCAAAAAAAACAAAAAAAACGTAAAAAATGTAAAAATGTATGCAAATGTAATGTGGATTTATAATCTATGCAAATCTAGATAGGTACCTTTTACTTAAAAAGTGACCATCTGCCATTGGTTTATTTTCCACTCCTAGGTTATATTACATTTGGATTAATAAACAAAACAAAAAAAACAAAAAAATGTTAGTTTTCGTTGAAAACGTCTTATTTGAATGAAATTGATAGGACAACTTTATTTATAACATTAAATTACTACTTCAACCCGCTTTTTGCGGATCGATATGGACGTGACTTTACTTTTGTCTGTTTGACTCATTGTTGGTTCGGTTGTGTGTAAACATTAATCGGGTCATTTTTTTTTCGAATAGCCTATATGATTATTATAAGATATAAATGCTTCGGGATATAATTAGGACATGCGACGTTTTAACCTCCGAATACTGACATTATAAGACCAGTTCCAATTCATTAATGAATCAACAGGGTTGTTTTTTCTATTTTTCTATTTTAAGTTTTTCTGACTTGTTTGAAATCGTACTTCAGAGACTCCATCAAATTGCGGATATTAATAAATAGCTGCTCTCGTCTATTTTTTTTTTTTTTTTTTTTTTTTTTTTTTTTTTTTTTTTTTTTGAGAACGTGGGACACTCCGTTAAATTAAGAAAACAGTCTCATAGATTTTTGTTTATGAAAATGGGAATATTCCCGAGGATAGGCAGCATGGCGCGGAGTAGCAATTAGCGTGTTTACTTGGCACGCGATCGTGACGGAGATCTTCTTCGGCAGGTCTTTGGTGCCGCAGCCTGAATTACTTTTCCGCGAGGAGACCGCTCGTTATGCGGTAATAAAAAATTTTCCATGATTTCCACACCGATAACCAGCCTCTATGCGTAAAAAACACCACGCACTTTTTTATTAGATATCGACCACGAGCAAAAAAACCTTAGTTAACAAAAAATATTAACATAAACCGATGAATCTAGTCATTGTTCGGAGTGATTCAAGGTTTCAAATCGCGGGCGTTAATTTCGACAGTGACACTGTAGATGAACAGCGGTGAATTCTTCAACTCGTGAGATTTCCTGTCGCAACAGACAACAAAATCGGCAGCAATGGACAATGCAGTAGTTATCCCACCGAGGAGCGATTATGAATTAAAAACAGGAATAGAATAATCAGATCTCAAACTTCAATTAAGTAATTGCTCAAACGTTTTGAGAGGACATTGATATCCGCATTCTTGCTTACCCGGAACGAAGCAAAGAGTGGTTTGTGATGAACCAGTTTATCAGTTTTAATTGATTTAGATGCTCTTTAAAATCCGGTAAAAATCACGTAAAAGATTTTAATTTTTCACACCTAGCACACCATTAAGAAACTAGTATGTTATCCGAGGTTTTCCCAGGAGTGTGGCGCCTCAGACTATGAGTCAGAGAGTTCCGGATTGAACCCTTGACCGTGAAGTCAAATTTTTCAAGCCTAGCTCAAGGGAATAGGGTTTGCTGGGGGAAAATGATTGCAATGGGCTTTAACCCCAGAAAATGTGCAATCCTGAAAAATAAGTTATACGAACTCTGTCGTGTATGGATGCATAGAGTTTATCATGGCGCAAGTTCCGAAGAACATTAGTCAGACATTCAAATTTCCGAAATCCGTTTTTGAAATCCGTTTCAGCAGAGGAGAGTCTGCTCCCCCTGAAAATTTGATTTAAAAATTTGAATGTCGAGGGTCAATTCAGGAACGTTTCGACCCATAGAAGCGCTAAACTCCACGAAAAACACGAGCTAACAGCAAGGAAACGATTTAGATTCGAAAACATGCTTGATATTTGGAAATATCATCGTCGATGAAATTTTAAAAAAAATTCGAAATTTTAGAAACCCTCTCTTTCACTCATACATAATTTCAGACTTTTTTTTTGAGGGATTAAACGAAAGAATGCCAACATTTCAGCTCTTCTCGCTCTTCTTGAATAAGTCTTAAAAAATAGAAATTCAGGGTTTTGATTCTGTAGGTTCTTAGAACTTTTTTTGAATTGTTTACAGCCCCCCCCCACACTCTCACCAAAAACTCAAAAAGTAATTTTTTTTGGTGCACCTCGTTTGGTTTCAGGATGTCGACCGTGGTCGAACCGATTTTGACTCCGTCGTCACTTTTCTCGGTGACGAATGCATTTTTCTACCTCTTGATCCCGATCGCCGCCCTATGGTATGCCTACTTCAGGATGTGCCGTAAACGGCTCTACGAGCTGGCTGCTGAAATTCCGGGACCCAAGGGGCTTCCACTCATCGGCAACGCCTACGAGTTCATGGGCGACTCCAACAGTGAGTTCACTACCTACTATTTCATACATTTTTAGTTAAGTAGTATACAGTTACATTATACATTTCAAGGGTCGCATTTGTGCTAAACGGAACTATAAACGAGAGTCCCTTTATACGAAAGCAAAGACATCGCGAATTAACTTCTGATTGGTTCCCGTATTTCAGGCCTTCACAGTGTCATAAACAGGAATAAAGATTACATTTTCACCAATTGCAAATGAAAAACGGGCCATAATGTCCCATTCTTTTGCTTAAGTCAACTCATGATATAATTTCAAGCACTTTTGTAGGATGACTTGTTTCCATAAATTACACCATTTCCAAGAAAATCGATGATAAAAATCGTTTTGCCGACCTACGTCATCAAAAAAATTCCAAGATGCCCGAAATGCAAACACCTCCTTTTTTTTCTCTATGAGTAAAGACAATGCGAATCCATTTCTGTTTGGTTCCCGTATTTAAGGCCTTTCTAGTGTCATAAACAGGAATAAAGATTACATTTTCACCAATTGCAAAAATTATAAACGGGAAAGGACCGTGGAATTGGGGGTACAGCAAGGAATAAATGGAATTGGAGAGGGAAGGGAGACAAGAATTTGGGAATGGTTTGATCACAGATTACAAAAAACGTCCAATTTGTGTAATCTTTATTCTCGTTTGTGACATCCACGATCCGCGTTGTCTCAACTCTTTCTAATGGGACTCTACTACATACGAGTGGGAATGATGCGGTATGCTATATGGCCTGGTTACACGCTCGAATTTCCGTCAACTTCTGATCAAAATGATGACCAAGATGGCGGTCGAGAGTTATCTAGATTAATGAGTAAAATTAATTAAAATAGCGTGTTGATTAAAATAAGCATGAAATAAGCACGGTTGTGTGGAAATCAGATGACGGATGAGCCCCACGCAGTTCCATCATCTACCATCAAATTTTTGCAGGCCGCAGAAATTTGATGGTAGACGGTGCGCACCAGTCACCATTTGATCGGAAATTGATGGGACTTTGAACGTGTGACTAGCACACTAGAAAGCTGCATAAGAAATAATGTAAAAGTCGGTGTGATACCCTTCGCAGATAAATGGAAAAGCGGGATTTCTACACTCTACTAAACGGAACTAAGAACCAATTATATGCGGCACTCATGAGCCGTGGGCATGGCAAAAGAGCATTGTGGACAGGGCTCATGAGTTAATGCGTCGTCGGATCGTCGCGCGTCGGCTCCGTCGTAGCCTTTGACGTCACTGGCGGTTTAAAATTCCCATTCATGCTTACGGCTCTCCATCCACAGGCGCATTCCGCAATTTGGCAACACTGGCTTTCCTCCATTTAAACACGTGTTAAATAATCGAGTCTTGTCGGAGTACTTGGCCCTTCCAAGAATCGATTTATTTCCATAGGTTTAAATAGAGAAAAACAGTGCTGCCAATTTGCTGGATCCGCCAATGGACTAACGAGTACACCCCTTCTTTCCCGCACCTGTCTCTGGTTCCGTTTCGCAGAAGTACGTTCAATTCATGGTCGTTCCTTAGACGGATCCTTCCTTAAGGTGTCCCCATGTTGACGCCAAAGTGCGAAACCACGTTTTTCTCTCGCGATATTTCAAAATGTCCGCTCTTATTTTATTTCTGGGAGGGGAAACAAGTCAACTTAATACCTTGAAATTTTCACAGCATGTTCCGCAAACGGAGAAGAAAAATCAAGGAAGTTTTCAATAAATTAGTTTAACTATATAGTTTAGCAAAAGAAAAATAAATGATGACAAGAAGTATGTAACGTTGCACACGGAGATACATGGTTTTGCACTTTGGCCATCGCTAAAGTTCACACTGTCATTAAGGGGGGTTTAAAAAATCATTTACAAATAAAAAGGGCAATTTTTACGAATTTCAAGTGGAACGGTCGTTCTGAGAGTGACGTCTAAATTTTACACGTAAACTTAAATATGTTCTCATTTACCATCGAACAAATCGCATTTATTGTGAATTTTACATAGCAAATGCTGAATTTTGCTGATAGCGAGTAAATATTACGCAAATATTTTTTATTGTAAAACGTAATTAATTTTTTTTACACCGTCTTTTTGCGCGGTATCAAATATCTCATAATAAATGTCATTTAACCACGCTTGGTTGGTTTTAGCAGCCCCATTCTAAAATTTGAAATCGACTGAGAATACATTATTGACTAGAATTGTGAATTAACATACCCCATTTGTATCCTATCGTCTATTTGGGCATTTTATAAATTCGATATGACATTATACTGATCGTAAGATTTCTTTCACTATTGTAATTTACTGAAATTTTGTCTGGCTACAGAAATATTCGAGAATATCTATGTGAAAAGCTTCGAGTACGCCAAAGATGGTGCACCCGCAAAATGCTGGATCGGCCCCCGTCTCATCGTCTTCTTGACCGACCCGCGGGACGTCGAGGTAAGCTCACTTCCAAATTTCAGCATTGATCGAATATTTGCTCGTATTTTAAATTTATAATCGTAATAGGGAGTGTCGGGAACTGCGCGGCGGTTTGTAGCCAAGAGTTTTAAATTAGCTATAAAAAAGTGCTCGAAAATTTGAATATTTATGCGACACCGCTCATTTGTTGTCATCTGGCATTTATCAGGTCAATTTAATGATTCGATGACGTATTGTATCATTTCCGGGCTATGGAAACAACGCCCGATATGCAGTTCGACGTGAAGTTTTCAAACTAAGTCTGTGGAGCACTGGGATATGTAAAACTAGTTTTTTCTTAAAAAGCAAAACAAGCAAAGTGTTATATCAGTGAAACACTCTCTCTTTTTTCTTTACAGCGCATATTTAAAACTTACCTTTCATCACCTGAAGAGACCCAGTGCATAAATATTCAGCTAATCGTTAAAAATTTTACAAGGTTTTTAGCGTTGACAGAAATAAGAAAAAATTTGAAATTTTGGAACATTTGGAAAAACTTGAGTCGTCTTAGGAGCAGTTTGAGCTCACCATAAAATTGATTTAGTTACAATCTCCAAAATGAAAGATATTTCACGCTTTTTCCTAGCGCAATCCCTCACATTTGGAGTGAGATATCTGGGGGGTTAGACCCCCCCCCGGCCCCCTTCCTTTGTCCTGGATCGGTGCTACTTTCCAATTTCAGCGTTACGCGAAGCATCCCTGGACTTTTCCCTCTCCCCCGTGTAACGCAGGCTTCCCCCTACAGTATTACAAAGTTTATAAACGGCCTCTGATTAAGGATTTCTATAGATCCAAAGTCAAAAAAGAATCACTGTTCTTTTGCTGATGAGAAGAATTTGCTGATGAGAAGAATTTGCTCATGCGAACTTTCTTGCTTGTTTTACAGATCATTTTGAGCAGTAGTGTTTACATCGACAAAGCTCCAGAATACAGATTTTTCCAGCCCTGGCTTGGAAATGGTCTACTCATTAGCACAGGTAGGAAAAGCTTTCATGAGACTTGTAAAGCTAAAGTAAATTTTAAAGTTGTGACATCGTGACACTGAATAAAAATAGGTTATACATTTTCTCTGAATACTTAATCAGGTTTCGTTATTTTAAAATGTAAAAGCAGACAAACAAAAACGATATTCCTGCTCATTTATGATAGATAAGGACCAAAACGTCGCAACGTAGGTAGGGCGAAATTCTGAAGCAATAATATCAGTTGCGTGGCGTGCTTTGCGATATATCGATTGATCTGCCACTGAAACCTACGGAGAAGTATCGATCACAACGATCACCTTAATGATCGATTCTTCACCATAGCTTCAAATGGAGAAATATCGATAGTCGATCACTCACGCCCCGCCACTGAATAATATAGCCCTATCTTTGAACTGAATACTAATGATGGATGTATTTTGCCTTAAGCTTTATTCTACCCTCTCAACAATGAGACACACTAAGGCAATGATGTAAAATTTATGAACCCTGCTTATCTGGAAAGCAGGGTTCATTCCTACTTTTTCATGAATGTGAAAACAAAATGTTCTCCTAACATTCCGAATTATTCAACTTCCAGGTGAAACCTGGCGAGCTCACAGGAAGTTAATTGCACCAACTTTTCATTTGAATGTATTAAAATCGTTCATGGGTCTATTCAATACTAACAGCAGACTGGCGGTGGAAAAAATGAGGAAAGAAGGCTCGAAAGCATTCGACGTCCACCATTATATGAGCGAGGCAACGGTAGAAATTTTGTTGGGTAAGTTTGAATTTGAGTTAGAAACAATAATATTATGATAAACGCTCGCAGCGAGACATCACCTCATTGTGTGATTTTAGAGATAAAATTAAAATTTTTATAAAAAAAATTAAAATGTTTGATAAATCGATTTATGATCCGACTTGTAGAAAAAAATACGCGGAACAAAATAAATTAGTCGTCACAGCCGGCGGCTGGTAAAAAATTCGTCAGCTACTGCGGTAGCTGGCGCATCCTTAAATAGCCGTTGGTTGTGACGACTTACGTACTTTTTTCTTGTATAAAATAAATGTATGAGTTTAATTTTAAAGTCTGCATGTATTTCACTGTATTTGGAACAAGTTGACTTGCAGCAGTCTCGTAGGTTCGTCGATTGTAACACATATGTGTTAAGGATCGATTTAACTCCTCAGTGAGGTGAAATCCAGGCACGACGCCATCTGCTGAGCGAAAAGTTCTGCTTTTGCCATGAAAATTCTCCTAATAATAATTGTATTAATTCTGTACACATTTCAAATTTTTCTTTCAGAAACTGCCATGGGCGTTGATAAGGGAACGCAAGAAGCCAGTGGTTTTGAATACGCTGCGGCTGTTATGAAGTAAGTGTGCACTTTTAAAGTAAAACAAAACAAATTCTGCTCTTATTGTACTGACCTTAATATTGTATTGACCTTAAGACCTGTCTCCGATCGAAATGTAGCGCTCAAATTTTTAAAGATGCATAACAATGTACGAAATTTAAGTCAAACAAAACGGAACTGCATACGAAAGTGCAGATACCCATCATCAAACTCCTTCAAATTATGCCTCTCCCCACCTAGTCTCCCACGAAGCTCCCATAAAATCCACGCCTTTAAAAAAATGCGAACCACTTAAATTGAGTGGTCAAATGCCATTGAAAAAAAACAGGTCAAGCGAAACCTAAAAGTATAAGTAGATCTCTAAAATTCACACCCATTAAAATATCATCTGAGCTAGAGCAGCTGCTAGTACAGAAAATAATGAGATAATTGAGTAGTTACGACGTGTAGTAAAACAACAATTATCCGCGTATTGTATTTTTACTTATCTGGCTTGGCTTTAAGCTACTACAGTGGCGACAAGACGTCGCGGCTCATAAACTTGGCAACAGCTTTTCAGCTAATCTTTAATGTATAAACGAACAGGATTTTATTACCTATATAATCAACTTCATCCTCAACGCGGCCTTGCAACAATGAAAGAAGCGCGCGCGGACAAAGAGGGGTACTAATATTTCCCGCGAAAGGTTGAAGGTGTAAGTATTAAACGCAAATAGACCTCTCGTCTCAAAGCCATGTTTTGAGAAAACACAATTAAAGTTTTCAAACAGTAATATTCAAGGAATAATTGGTATTCCATAACCAATTTTATGTGTTATCATGACGCATCAACGGTATAGAATCATCAACTGCAAGAAACCAATAGCGGATCCAGCAAATTGGCAACATTGTTTTTTCTCCATTTAAACCTATGGAAATATATCGATTCCCGGAGGGGCCAAGTGTTCGGACAAGAGTCGATAATTTAACATAGGTTTAATTGGGGGAAATCTGGTGTTGCCAAATTGCTGGATCCGCCTATGCAAGAAATGCGTAACTCGGTTGCGGTATTTCAAAATCTCAGCTGTAACTTTTATTTCTTAAAAGGAGACCTATCGTACATCATGGCTCGAAGTTTTCATAGAAAATTCTTCTTAAAGAGATGAAAAATTCCTAAAATGTTCAAAAAATGACATTAAGTAGTTTTCCATATAGAAAATAAAGTATGACAGGAAGTCTGCGACGCCGCAAGCGGAGATACGCATTTCTGCAGTTTCACCATCGATATTCTTCAGAGGAGGGAGATGTGCGTGAAATCTCAATCAATAAATACAGTTCAGGAACAGCACACATGAAAGGTAGGACGGGAATTCTTTTTACAGGGAACGGCGGATTTGAACCAACTACAATTCGTAATATTTAACAGTAATTTTATGATGCGTACACTTAGTGAGATAATCATGCTATTCAAGATGCTTTTTGGCTAAGCATGTCATAATCAGTAGGTACCTGGTGCATTGGAATGCTGGCGTAGATGAGCGGTGGTTTAACCACACACTTCTCTAATGCGGAATGCGCTATATTGTGTTCAAACGCATCAATTTGGTCTTTCCGCGGTATGCACATTTTTCGTAAGAATTTTTCGTAGAATTATCGGATCATAACCAAATTAGGTGCACAAATACTCCAGGATATGCAAAATCAATTTAGCCGCTCTTCGCGGCGCCAAGTGATCTTTTCGCAAATGATACTTCAACTGAGTTACGTGTTTTTCTTGTCTCTCTCTGTCGATGTGTGATGAATTCATTACACTTCAACTGACAAACATCCGTATACAATTGACGTCAAGCAATACTCCCGGTTTTTGACACCCCTTCCCCCTTATCCCTTGTTGAGCACAGCTTCAGTGATTTTTGGCATAAGTCAAACACGTTTGGACCCCCCCCCCCCTCCAAAGTACCTAACGTTATTAATTGACAACCCCTTGACATAAAATGTAGACGGGAAAAACATGTAGGGATTCTCTCCTAAAATTTTGGTACTATACCCCAATTTTTTGGACGATATGGTCATTTCTCATTAATTGTGGTAGTGCCGCAACATTTGGGTTAGTGACCTAGCTTATTGGAGCACATCTACAATTAATTGAGGTACAGCTACAAGTAACTGGAAGAGCGCTTATCACTCGACATCTTCGTGCTCTTGTTTCCATGTACAATTGTTCCTTCCTTGTACATCAATCACTCAAGTAAAAAAAAATTGTTTCTCTGATTGTAATTTCACAAACCTCTGCTCAGGTTTTATTTTTTAGAAGAAATCTGACAAACAATCAAATAAGAAAACTTGTCGAAACCATGCAATGCTTCACCCTCATCAAACTTTTCTACCCCCGCGTTAAAGTCTCTCAGGCAGCGAAAAGGAGACCAAGTTCTCCCTCATTTTTGAGGATATACAATTTTACCTACTCGAAAGGCGAAATAGTTGTATCACGCGTTTAGCCCCATCTAAATTTTTCTACCCCTGCGTTAAAGTCTCCAAGTCAGCAGAAAGGAGACCAAGTTCTCCTTCATTTTTGAAGATGTACAATTTCACCAGCTTTGAAGTTGAAATAGTTGTATCACGTGTTTCGCCCCAACTAGTTTATTAGAGCGCAAATCCGGTATCGATCTTCCATTTCCTAATGGACTGAGGTTTGAAAGCGGTATCCAACTCGAAAAACCAATTATATTGCCATTTCCTCTTTTTAATATCAAAATGAATTTGGCACTTCTGCCTCTTTTTTAAGCGCAGTTGCACAAACGGGAATATCCGCTTGTGCAGCACGGCACCGGTATCGGTTAGGTACAAATATTGGAAAATGTCTACGACCGCGTCTGGGGTCGAATTCAGAGTGGTAAAATATGTGCGTAACTTTCATTACGGCTCAAAGTTTCACTTAGAGCAAAAATGTAACTCTAACCAGTTAAAAACTCAATTTCAAAATTACATACAACCAAGCAATCGACATCCACAACTGGACAGTCATAGGTTGACATTTCGGAACTGGTGACAGCTAAAATTGAACCTGAAGATAGAGGGCGAGGACCAGAAAAAAGTGAAAAAACGAGGTAAAATGACGGGGGAAAAACCATACGAACAAAGGGAGCGTTTTTAATCTTAAGAATGAATTCCAGAACATTTTCGAGTGTTATTTTGTCTCTGTGTACGTATACTACTCAGACAGATAAAGATTCTTAATCAAGACCCTTAAAAAAATAAGCATCGTCCATGAAAAGTGGATCGAAAATTGGTTGTATTCCCTTCGAATGTGTGCGTCAAAATGAACAAGAGACACGCTTAAAACAAATTAACTCTGTGCCTCCATAAATAGTAAAAGTGCTTTTTCATTGCAGGTTGTGCGATATTCTTCATTTGCGACACACAAAAGTTTGGATGCGACCAGATTTCCTCTTCAACATGACCAAGTATGCAAAAGAACAAGTCAAATTACTGGACTTCGTCCATGGATTAACGATCAACGTAAGCTACACCGTATTTTATTTTTATTCGTAACAAAAATATAGATCGCAGCATTTGTAGTCTCCCGACTTTTCTCATTTTCCGGCTTCGCGGTGGTGAAACTCGTCCTTATTAATATTTCTATGTATACTTAAATTATAAGTCGGCGTAATCTAGGGCACTTACAGAAGATGAAAAACTAGCCCGCGTTTTATCTATTGATTACAAATGAAGCACTTGGATAATATATGCATTTATCAGTCGGAGTGTTCACGGTAATTATGTCATACTGTAATTAACATGTGTGATTGCTAAAGGATAAAAAACCTATACCCACCCTGCTAAGTATGCACCTGTATGTCTCACTGAGTTCTCTTGAAAAGTGCATAAAGCAAAATATGAAAATTACATATTCAAAAGGAAAAGTGATCGGAATCAAACTTTAAAAACTCTGATACCAAGCTTGAGACAATCGAGATGATACCTGTCTGCTTTTTTGCGCCTTTCTCATCTGATAACCTCACAAGGAAAACGATAGGTTTACGTCTTTCGTTTTTTTTGCACTAACTAAACGATTTTTTATTCAAGTACTAAATCATTAACGGCAAACATTTCTTTTTTTATACCTGAATACTCTCTGATTTTCAAAATATCTTGTCACCGAAAACTGAAAACTACACGTGATTTTTTTCATCTTGCAGTTATATAATCTCATCTTATCCTTGTCCACACGAAGAACGCAACCAAATTTTAGCGTTCCAAAATAGTCCATTCAAAAAGTTTTTTACATGAATACTGTTGAGTGTTTCTAAATAAAAATACCAATAATTTAAATACGGAGTACACGCAAACATCGGCAAAGTTTTTGGTAGGATTGGACACGCATACTATCGTAAAAATGTAATTTTTTATTCAAAATTTTGCACCCATGGAATATGGAATTTAGTTACTTTCCTTTGTCTGGAATGCGACGAATTTTTTCAACATGACGGTTTTAGGTCCCTGGTGATCCGTCAGGCTAAAATAGAAACAACAGAGAGAGAAAGAAGACCGGATAAAAGTTGAAAAATGAGGAAAAAGGGGAAAATTAAACCAGGAGAGAGCGCATGCTTAATCCTAAGAACGATTTCCGAGGACAATATTTTGACTCGTGATCATAATCTCCCTACTTTAAAAATTGAAAAATCTAATTTCATAAAACAACGAAAAAATCCTGATGAGTTTTTATGGCAACGAGATTGCAACACCGTGATTCCAATACTATGAAAAATCTCGAAGTTACTTTACCTCAAAAAATTCCAGATTTTCCTTCATTCCGGATTGCATGCCACTTCGGTGCCAATGGAGGAGTTTTTAGGAAATTGCCGAGATGATATTTTCGTATCCTATTGTATATATACTCCCCAAGTTCCAGCTTAATTAAGACACTTTTGGAGTCAAGAGACTAAGTTTTGTATGGCTAAGTTAGGGTTCATAGGAGACTCCTGGAAGAAGGACCCATAGCGAAGTGCCCTCTTCTGGGGAACTGCGGTTAAGCAATGGTAACAGAACTGGCTGCAAATCACTGCTTCACGAAGTAGCTCGGATGCCGCAACATTCCGGAGATAGCGTGCGGTCCCAACGGGCGGGTGGGGAATACTTTTGGCATTTAAGATTATTTTTCTTTTCTTTTTTATCATACAGAAGAGATTGATGAACTTCATTTGGGTTCAGCAATTCGTTCATGTCTGGAAAGTCAAACTTTGCAAGCCAAAACTTAAGACCACCGGTCCATTTCCGAAAAAAGGGCACGTGACGGAAAATTTTCAAAAATTCCTCACGCTAAAAGAAGTTTAAGTTTTATCAATGGTCATTATTCATTTCAGGGTGAATAAACTTTGATCTAAGTGTGCAACTTCCGATGTAAGTTGCCATCAGTGCTCAGAAATTAATAATAAAATGTTTAAATGCGGCTCATCATTATGCGTTTTCCAGTATGTGCCCTTTTTTCGGAAAGCTCCTCAATTGTGCTCCCGAACAACCTGAGTGACATGAGTGCGGGGCAGAATTTATACTCTTTTTGAGGTATCGACTCTGTATGTAGATGTAATTCCACTCTCACGGAGCGAATTTCACTGCACGGTTTTATGGAAACCAAACAGGCTCTAAAATTAAATACTTTCCAAACCCCACAAGACTTCTGAAAAAAATATACTTACAGGTACATAATGAGTAAAAAGGAATGAAACCGCTCGATATAAATTTACTGCTTTTCCGATTTTTAGGTTATGGCAAAGAAGAAAGCAGCTTTCTTGGAAAACAAACAGGCTGCTCTGGAAAGTGGAAACTCGGCAGGCAAAACCAAAACTACCGAAGCAGCTCCTCAAAAATCTGAGCCGGCAACCAAGGAAAAAGAGGTCACCGACACGGTAAAAGGATTATCGTTTGGACAGTCATCTGGGCTTAAGGACGATCTGGACGTGGATGAAGACATTGGTATGCACAATATATCAATACATGTTTTATTAGTACTGCACCTACATATCATTATATATATTCTTCTACCTCTTCCTCGCTCTTACTAATGGTTATTATGTATATTCTTCTGTCTCCTCTTCTCTCTTATTAATTGTTATTAAATATTTACCTTATATTTATTAATTTTTAATTAGACTGTTGGAAATTTAAGTATGTACTTAAATTTCTGACCCCTTTGCGCCTGTTTGAAGATAGCGAAATAAAGTAGGAAGAATGGATAGAGACGTTCAATTTATTAAGGCGGTACCCAAATTGCAATCGGCTATTTACATATCGGGAGAGATTTACATCTAGTGGGCTGCGACCCCTAGTCGCCACGCGGCCCAACCCCCGGAGAGCGTTAGGCCCGTTTCAAGGAACCCCATGAGCTAATTTAAATAGAGCGGGCTCATGTAGTTACTATTTCCATAATGCCGTGCCAAGGAAATACGTCGTATGAGCATTCGAGAATTGCCGAATTTCTCCGGATAAAACATATATATTTTTTTTAAGGAATGTTGTGCTCATTTGGACGTATTTCTGCCAAACGGAACTGTGTGCATTATGACACGAGCCCTGAGGCCCCTAAGAATGCATACATAACATGGCTCACGCCATAATGCACATAGTTCCGTTTGGCGGAAATACGTCCATTTCTCCTTGAAGTTTTCAAATATTTTAGATAAAATTGCGGGCTTAATTGTCTGAAAGATTCAAAGGAAAAGTTTAACAATTTCCCGAGTAAATTCGTCATTTATTGAAGGAGATACGGCAATGCCAGAGGGCTCATACGGCGTTCTTCCTTAGAACGGCAGTATAGATAGCCGCAAAAATCAAGGAATTAGATCTGTGTGACAAGTTGTGCCAAAAATAAAATTTAGGAGGTCAGAGAGCTTCTAGTGATGAAATAATGAAAAATGACGTTAATTTGGAAAACTCGGGTTTTGAGTTGGGTTGAGCTCAGAGGGGTATAGGTTTTTAAAGGGTGGGTATTGAGTACCCAATAATTTGTCGGTTGTACTGGTCACAGAATCGTATTTTGATGCTTGATTCTTGTTGATCAGCTAAAAATGAGAAGATCTGTCTAAACAGCAACTTTCTACATTGATAATTAACCGAGATATCGCTCTTTGAAAAGTCGAGGTTTTCCAAAGGAAAGGAAAGGAAGGTTTCCATTGAACAGACTCAAGTCTGAATCAATCATGATCTTCCCGATTCCCATATCGAATGTGATTGGTCAGTTCACTTTTTAAATTTTACCTTGCATTCGAGTGAGGAAATAAGTTTTCTCTAAGACGGAAAATTTTCACCCACACTATGAAACTTGCACATTTCAATTCTAATACCCCTCATTAAATTTTTGCAGGAGAGAAAAAACGCCAAGCCTTCTTAGATCTATTGATTGAAAGCGCGGATAATGGAAATGTCTTGACTGATAAGGAAGTTCGAGAGCAAGTTGATACTATTATGTTTGAGGTAAGTTTATTTTTTGGTTGCGCTTAATCAGCGGCGATACTTGAAAGATGGCAACACTATTTTTCCTCCATTTAATTTTATGTAAGACGATCGATTTTTGGTGAGGCAGCTTGTCTTACCTAAAATCGATATTTTTAATGGATTTTAACAGAGGAAAAACTGTGTTGCCAACTTTAAAGAATCGCCACTAAGTTAAGTATCATCTCCAAAGGTAGAAGAACAATGAACTGACGAAATACATCGAGTCCTACGTGTAAAGTACGTATGAAAATATTATTAGAAGCATTAAATTATGATACTTCTAAAACTCTCTTTTTATGCTAAAATAGACTAAAAAAGTCCTAAGGCGCCGGCGACGTGTTTTTAATAATAGAATGGCCCTATCTTAGAAGAGGACACCCAAATAAACATACCTATCAATTCTACGAGCGCAAAATCGTCAATAAATTTTTTTCACTTGATTGTGACTTTATAGACCTATAAACTTTACATTTAAAGTGTTCATTAGAATTTTTCTGAATGTTTTAGGGTCACGATACAACGGCTGCTGGAAGCAGTTTCTTCTTATGTATTATGGGCGTACGACCAGATATCCAGGTAATTAATATTCTATACGCGTATTTAATAGACATTTTTTTTTGTCTCACCAATTAATGAACTTAGGATGAATTCAGAGTCTCTGTAGTACCAAAATTCATATGTTTTGTAATGAGATTGGTCACTTTTGACAAAATAGAAATTTTAATCTCCTTTTATTTGCGCTGGAATTATCACTGGATTTTCAATTTTATACTCGTACATTGGCCTCTTCGAAAACTCCAATTTAAATTTAGTTTTCCTCACTGCGTTCCATTCAATGAAACGATTACGGTTGCTCATTATACAGTCATCATTTCTTGGTTGAATCTTACGAATTGGTAAAAAAAAAGGGTTAAAACCCTCCTAAACTTAAATTTTCTGCGATTATAACTGCAAGCGTGCCAAAACCGATCTCCAAGAGGGTAAAGAGAGATCACGTAGGTATGAGATATTCTAATATCATTATTTTTCCAACCTCAATACTTCAACGCCAGAGGTTTATTTTTATTTTATTTTATTTATTTTTATTGCGAAATTCTTGTACATGAACGCTGCAAATACAGCCATAATACAGGTCTGGTTGATTCTTTATGTCGGTTGCCTCACATCCAACTCATGTTACTAAGGTGGGAAAATTAATTACATGCACTTTACACTGGAAAAAAAAAACACATTGGATCCAGAGTCCAGACTCTTAAAAACATCGACAAGATACAAAAAGTACTCTCGATTCAATCAGAATCTAGCTTAGATAAAAAACCAAGCCTCTTAATTTAAGCGGATTTCGTTTTGATTCAAGCAAAAATCCGATTGAATCAAGAGTATTTTTTCTTGTCAATGTTTTCGAGAGTCTGGACTCTAGATCCAATGTGTTTTTTTTTCTAGTGTAGTGTTTTATTTTAAATGATCTCCTTAGTAAGACATAAATTACTGCGAGACATAAAATAGAGATGCAACGTAAGGATACATTTTGGCTAATTTTTTGAGTTGTAATTCTATAAAGTCGAATCTGTAACAGAAGGTTTACCCCCCGCCTTACCCCTCCAATGAAACAGTATATGCAATTCTAGTTACGAGCAGCTCAATTATCTCTGTTCTTAAGTTCGCGACTTCCTCTACCCAATGTAAAAAAGTAGTAGCAAAAATTATTCAGACTCCCTACATTCACTTCACATACAAATAATTCCTATCGTGCTTTTTGTCTGCAGGAGAAAGTAGTGGAAGAGTTGGAGCAAATATTTGGCGACTCGGATAGACCATGCACGTTCCAAGATACGTTGGAAATGAAATACCTAGAAAGGTGCATCATGGAGACTTTAAGGATGTACCCACCAGTGCCCATCATCGCCCGAGAGCTACAACAAGAAGTCCAGCTAAGTAAGTCAAATAATCATCGTAAAACAACTGTTTTACCGATCATTGATTTCTATGGGAGATAAGCAAAGGACTAATTGAGATAAGGTCAACCACATCCTTTGGAGTAGAAAGTTTATTTTTAAGGTGATTCGATGGATGCCGAACGGCATGCAATATATCGCATCAATTGGTTCCATTTTCTCAGCTACTCGTCATTTTTCTCCAGCTTTGAGATCGCAATTCTGTTATCAGGAGTTTAAAGCACTCACTTACAAATTTTAACAAAGAAATTCAACGTAATAAAGGCGTGGTTTTTTTAGAGAGAAAATATCGGATTCGATACTGATATCGAAACTGCACTCGAATGCGATATTTTCTTTCTAGAAAAACCACGCCTTTATTACGTTGAATTTCTTTGAAAAAAATCGTGAGTGAGTGCTTTAGTCTCCTGACAACAGAATTGCGATCTCAAAATTGGAGAAAAATGATGAGTAGCTGAAAAAATGGAACCAATTGATGCGATATATCGCATACCGTTCTGACACAAAATATGGCGTCCATCGAATCACCTTAAGTCTTTAAAAAAATGCTAACAATTTGGCCCGAATACTGTAAGTAACAAGATGATAGAATATCCGCACTATTCGTCGTTCTTCTGACGTAAAGGCGTATCTCAGTTTCCTCGTGAACCCTGTTCTGTGCATGACTCCATAATTTCCTGGGCTCAAAAGAAAATAGGGATACACACGCACGTCACAGAAGTGACGTATTCTGCAGGGAATTAAAGTCACAATATCCAAAAATTTGAACTGGAGTTTAATTTTTGAATTTTCTGGCTTTGATTTTCCCACAAGAAAATGTCGGCACCACGCAATATTCTATCACCCTGCCGCGTTTAAATTATATCGCTTTCGCTGGGCCGCGAATGATTACTACAGCGTGCGTAAACAAGAGGCACAAGCACAAACTATTTAGATAACTATTCATATTGAGACACAATTTTAAAAAACAACTTCTAAGTACGATAAGTATGCTAAGGATTTTGTTATCAACGACTTATTTTTGTTCAACCTGGGGCACTCTTTTCAAAAATAATTGAGCACATGCATCGTCCAAAAATTTGGAGAAATGGAGGGAGAAAGACAGAAAAGGAAACAGACGAGGTTGGTGTGAGGTACCAAAACTTAGAGCTTAGATTTTAAATTATTAGTATAAACGTTCCCCAAAAGATGAAATTACAGTTGCCCAATAAAAGAATCTCCTTCAATTAGTAGATAGGCAACATATAATACACCTCGATGCGGTACCAATAATTTATTCCATGCAAACGCAATTGATTGCAGTCTATGTTTTTTGGACATGGATTGCTGAATGTATCGTTGAGCACACGAGGGAATCTCTCTAATCGAATATTTGGGAATTTCTAATTTTCACTTTTAAATATTGAAATTTCAGAGTCCACCAACGTGTCCGTCCCTGCAAAGTGCACTGTTATTATCGGAACCCTCAAATTACACAGGAACCCGAAAATATACCCGAATCCTGAGCACTTCGACCCTGATAACTTCCTGCCTGAGAAAACTTCGAACAGACATTATTATGCTTTCGTACCGTTCAGCGCTGGTCCAAGAAGTTGTGTTGGTGAGTACATA